TTATTAATTTAGCCATAGCCAGTTGTATTAAATGTATTTGTAGTTCTTATAAATTTGTTTAATTTTTATCAACTGCAAAATAAATTGTTTAATAAAACATGACTCCGTTGGAATTAAAAAAAAAAAAAAAAAATATAATTTTATTATTAAATTAATATTTATTAAAATATATTAGCTTAAAAATTTTTTTTAAAGTGTTACAATCTTTTTGAGAGCTACTGTATAACATTCTTCAATAATAAAAAATATAATAATTTCACTTGAATTATTCACATTCACTTTACATTAGCATATTAATATTTATGTTTATTTATAATAAAATGAAGAAAATATAAAAACAAATGAGAGAAAAAAATAAGGGAAATTAAAAAAAAAGTTTGAGTGAGAAAAGAAAAGCTATTAATTTTTTTTAAAATCTATATCAAGGAACAAAAAAAAAAGGAGATTAAACATGTACAAAATTTACTTCATCTTTAACTCTCCAATTATTCACCATATCCCTTGCCATGGTTTGGGTATTATCTAAACAATTATTCAAAATATCTAGATTCTGATTACTTAGAAGCTTTCTCACTTTATCAAATATTAAGGATGATTCACACTCTTTTTTTTCACAGATTTCAATACTTTTCATGATTTTATTTACTTCTTCTCTAATTATCTAATTATATAAATATTAATATTATTAACACCAATTAATATATTAAAGATCAAGTGAAAATAAAAATTAGTACAGAATATAATATTAATAATAGATTGCAAACTTGCTTAATGATTATATTTCATGCTTCTTAATGTATCTTTCATAATTAATGCTATAATAGAATTTAATAATAATTGCATGAAGATATAATAATGATCCTATTAATTTTTTATCTTCTCCTCTGACCTAGTTATATACTAATTTAAAAAAGTTTTCATGGTTTAAAAACTCTTCATAATGGTACCCATTCTTGTGGACTTTAAATTGATTGTAAAATACATCTCTGTAACATAGAAAGGCTTCTAAGTAATCAGAAATCTTTTCTTTTTTGGTGTTGGATCTTTCACTTCGATACTTGTATTTAGTTACTCTTTTCATCTTACACACATAAAGAATATTGTATGCCTGAACTTTGGAACTGTTAACCTTATTATTATTATCTTCATTTTCTACTCCTTTCTCTTTTTCTCTCTTCTTGATAAGTATTTCTGAAACATCAGGGATGGAAAAAGTTGGTTGGTTTTGTTGTGTAGCAAACAGGGACTAAAAAATAATATCAATATTAATTATATTGAATTCAAAACAATAACAAATTTAATTTTAAATATAATTTTTAATCTCATATACTTGAAGAATTTTATGCTCTATCTAAAACACTTTGCTTTCTTTGTTGTTCATGCACTGGTGTTCTTCTCAAGATAATAATTTTTTTTCTTGAAACTTCATTGATTTTGTCAGTTGAAGATCTTTGGCATTTTATTTTATGTTTTTAAGATAATATGTAGGGAAGTTTTAACAAAATATAAAAGAAATATGTAAAGAGATTATAAAAATTTCAACAGTTGGTAATAAAATTGGTAAGATTTTGGTTTATTTCATTTTGAATGATTAAAAATTTGGAATTTTTTTACCAATTCTCCTTTTTTTTATACCAAAATATTGTCTTTTGTAAAAAAAAAATTATAACATGAGTCATTGCAAAATTTATGTATTATTGACATTGACATTTGATTTTTAGCACAGCCAATATCCAATTTAGTAATAGTAATTATGATTTGTATTATACTTTTTGTTTCTTAACAATAAATATTTTATTATTATAATAGTATAAAAAAAAATTAGCCATATTTTACTATACTTTGTTTTGGTAAAAAAAAAATGTTCATCAGCCAAGCCAATCTACCTAATTTAGCTAGAGTACATTGGACCAAGAATCATTAATAATAACTAATTATTACATTAGACATATAATAAATAATTATTAACAAATTTCTTTTGTGAAACTCACCATGATCATGAATTTTGTCATGGGTACTATGTGGATACTAATATTATTACAAATTTGAGGGGTAAATATATATTATTTATAGATAACTTTATAATCGCACATCATTTATATTAAATTTTTTGTGGCACAGAAAATATTAACAAAATTTTTTGTATTAACCATCATAGAGGACTTATTTATAATAGCTTTTATGAAACCAAATATGTTATCTGAGTTGAGTATAAGTATATTTATCTTATTCAAATTTTTTTTTTTATTATTTTTATAGCAATTTGTTATATTACCAACAAATGTGAAAGATTTGATTAAAAATGACAGCTAACCCAGTATCACCAGAACCATTTTCACTTTCGCGTGATATTTTACATAAGGGCAAATTTTGATTGACCATAGTTTGGATGGTGATCAGAAATATTTCACGTGTTATTTTCACAGGTGACAAATGTGGGTGACGAATATGAAATGGAAATTAGAGAATTCGAAAGATATTATTTCACAAAAATAAAAGTCTTGAAAAGTATGGAGTATTTTATATTTACCCGATTCTTCTGACTATGATTTATTTTTCCTCCAAGGCTTGTTTTCCTTCGATAATATTGATTTCTTGGTTCATTCTTCAAGATTTATAAGAAGATTAAAAGTTTGAGCAATATGACATAATTACATGATTTAAATTTTTCTATTTCAATGAGAAGAGAGGTCAGTGCAGTTTCATTGAGAAAACCAAAATCATCGGCACCAAAAATAAGGTTTGGATACTTTACAACATTATCCTTACAAAATTTTTCTAATTATTTCAACCAAATATAGGATGATAAATAAGAGAAGAGTAACAAGAACCTTTTGTTTAAATAATAAGAGTCTGGATCTTTTTCGGATGGCTTAATTATCATAGTATTACCGGTGGCACTAGGAATCATCGCAAGAAAATAAAGTCAATTTCCTGCCGTAACAGCTAAAGGTTCTTGGGGTATAGGTATCCGTATTAGTCGAAACGGAAAATTGTTCACCTATTAATAAATTGGTAATATTATAAGCTTTGTTCCAATAATCGATAAACATCTCATTTAGCATCCAATCCGAAAATGTTTTTCCTTGTTCTTCGGTAATGGATTTTTCGATTTTATCATATCCCTTTTAATCAATTGTTGAAGGTCTAATAAAATTCGTTGCCTGGTGAGAACTGTGGTTTTACGCCATGCTTTAAATGTATTAGCGGAGTTGGCAACAGTATCTTATAATTCTTGAAGGTTAGGTTACGGAACAAGAGTTATTGTCCTGTGTAAAATCATATTAGTTCAATATACATTGAACTTACAATTAAATTAGAATATGGATTAAGATAATTAATTAATTACCGGATTATAATGGTCATCCATTGTTCAGTTTTTGATTCTACGAATTCCACGTTAACACATAATCGTATATCGTGTCTTGCATATGTATCTATTACAGTATGCCAATATTCTAAGCTTCAACTTTCTCTTGAAATTAAAGTTCAACGTGGCAAAATCCAACATTAATGATTGATATCTAAGATCATATCATTAATTGCCTCCTACTTTTGTCTTTTTCTCGACAATTCATTATTATTTTCTACGTTTCTTGATAATTTGATAAAATTAATTTTATTTACAAAAGGGTTTAAGAAATAATTCAAATGGAATTGCTAATTAATAAGAAAAATATAAAATTTTTTAAAGAAATATAAGATTATTTAAAGAAAATACAAATTGCTATAAGATCTAAATTTAATGGCTTTCAACTAATTATCTATAATATAATTTCTTATTATTTTTTTCACCATTACAATAACCCGATACAATCATCTATATCATATTAAAACGATCAATTAACAACATAATTGCTTAAAACAATTTATATTCTTTCTCATAGTGAGAAATAATGGGGTGACGTTCAAATCCAATTGGGGAATTAATAACCTTTGCATCATAATTGAAAACCGATTTTGGTAAAGGTGATAGGGATTTATCCATTTTCTCGTGTCTTTTGGTAAACAGATATTCACGTTTGCCAGTACGATGACAACTTCTTACGCAATTAAGCCAAAAGTTATACTTTTCTTTTGTAACATGCATCTTGAAATCTAATGATTTCAAAAATGAAATCTCCAACGCGTCGATATCGGCTTGAGAGATATATAATATTTCCGACCATACTTTGTTTGTATATACCTCATCGTTGTGCCATTTGTGTGCCAACATAAGAGCAATAGAAAATAGTTGATACTCGTTGGTAAAGTCAATGTTGTTTCCTTTCTTGATGTACCTTTGTACATACTTTAATGACAAGAAGATAGTATCATCAGATATTTGCGATTTGGATATTATCTAGAAATATAGAGAAAGAAAGTAAAGAAATTGTTAGTTATATTTATTACTACTTTTAATAGACATAGATAATAAAGAAGAAGTACCTTCGCACAAAATTTTTTAAAACTTATTTTCGCAGATTCACTGCTGCCTTCTTTCTTTAAATTCCACATCTTAGAGACAATATTTGCAGATAACACGGCCAAAGCTGCAGTTGATGAAGTTGTTCTTTTATTGTTTTGCATTGTGATAGTAAAATGGAAGTGGAAAGATATGTATGGTACGATTTGAATGAGTAGAAAAGATAAAAGTGGTATTTTTTAAAATAATAATTTTTAAGTATGTTAATCGTAAGTGAAAAAGTGCGGAGAGTTTTTTTTAAAAAAAATTTTAAAAGTTTTGTTATTTATGAAAAAAATAATGGTTTTGCATTACGGCAAAAAAATTCTGTAACTCAAAAAAAATTTTATATTTCATCACCTGAAATTTGTAATCAATAAATATGATTACCAGTTTGATGAGTTGATGAAATATTCTGTAACACACAAAAATTTATATTAATAAACGTCATGTACCCTCATCTCAACCCATGACCTAATTCTAATAATTACAATTATTGACAATTCTTTTTTTTTGTTCTGTGTAACCAGTAAATATGATTACCAGTTTGATGGATGGTCGATAATACAAAAAATTCATTAATATAATATTCTGTGACTACTACTAATAATATATATGTACCCTAGTTATTATTAATGACCCTTAGTCCGATGTACTCAAACTAATTTAGGTAGATGGGCTGATGAACTTTTTTTTGACTGAAAAAAAGTAAAGTAGTATAGTATAGAGTCAAATATCATGTGTTATCTTATTATAACATTATATTGAAATTTCTTCTATAGCTTTAAATAATATTCTAACCAAGATTCTTTATTTTTTGGTTTCACAATTTTAGCACAAGATTTTTTGATAAATAATATGGAATCCTTGATTTTTTTGGATCACAAGATAAGAATTAAAAAAATTGTTTTTTATCATTATTTATCTGATGGATTGTCGGGCAGGCAAATTTGTCTGCTCTGCTAAACAGTAGCATGTGAAAACCGCCAATCCATCAGATAGTTATTATACTACAATAATTAAAAAACTCAGTGCAAATAATAAAAAATTTTCATATTATTATATATTTGTTTACTCAGCTGATGACTAAGTAGGATTGATAAAATAATTTTTTTACTCAGCCGATGATCGACTATTGATAGATTATAATTACTATTTATTCTACTAGCCAAAAATGGATTTTGGACATTGATTATTAGTCTGATTCTGATGTAATCATTAGTTATTATTAATAATAATCAATCTGCTAAATTGCTAAATTAGGAATGAATTTTTTCAAACGAAACAAAGCATTGAGAATATAAAGCATATGTAATTCCCATTTTTTTTTATAATATTAAAGCAATAAATATTTATTGATAGAAAACAAAAAAAATCTATATAAAAGGGAATAGAAGAGATTCCTGAACATAAATTCAATCGAAAAAATTTCCTAGATTTCTAAAATTTTCAGATTTTTTTGCAAAACGAATTTTAAAATGGTTTCATCAAGACAACAACAATTCCGACAACAACGATCCCTACAACAACAGTCCCAACGACGACAGCAACGGCAACCACCACAACAACAAACTCAACAGCAACAACAAGAAACAGAAGGTATAAAAGATAATTATTAGAATTCAATTGTTTGATTTTTTTTTATTTCTTTCACTTATTTCAATTCTTTTATAGTTGAAAACAATAATATGATTATGAATATATTCATCATAACAATGATATTAATTTTCATAATTGCAATGATATTGGGAATACTAATAATAATATGGATATTAATAATAACAATAATGTTGATGTCGGAAATAGTGAAAATAATACTAATGGTAGTAATAATGATAAGAGACGTTAAGGTAAGCATCTTTTCCTTTAATTATTTTTTTTTTTAAAAAAAAAAATTCAAATTGATACTAATTTATTTTTTTAATTAGATAACGATTAAGTTGATAGCGTTGCTGTTGATCACCATGGAGGAATGAGTCAAAAACTTTTAATTACTTTACATATTATCAATTTTATTTTTTTAATGTATAAATTTAAATATATCAATAAATAAATGCAAATATAAATATAAAATGGGTATTCCTTTTGTAATGCGAATTTAAGAATTTGAAATAATTAAAATTAATCTAATTCAATTCACTCAAAAATCTATGAATAACAATCACAATCGTAAAGATTTATTTGTTCATTATATTATATTTCTTGACTATTTATTACACAAGCTGTAATATTGTATAATATAATTTAATCATTTTCCTTTTATTTTTATGTTCATATTTATTTTTTTATTTCTTTTTGCTTAAAATATTACTATAACAATGGAATTTTCTAGTTACGTATTAAAGTGATAATGTTGGAATATGGTTACGAACAGTATTGAGTATTATATGTTTTGTAAAAATAAATAATACAGATAACATTAATATTGATCCTGAATCATTGAAATATGTTATTAATTAATAAAATAAAAAATAAATCTCAAATTGATCAATTTTAAAAGAAACTAGAGAAGGAGAAATATGTTAAGAACGATGAAAATGTTTGGCTGATGAATTAATATAAAGATTATTTGATTTTACTTTATTATTTATGATGAATGAATCGTGTATTTATTCATTCAATCTAATATTTATTAAATATACTAAAAATTTTAAGTCATCATTAAAAACGAAATAAATCATTTCGAGAACATAATATAAATTATATTTAATATAAGAGTGGAAGATATAAAAAATAATCGAAAAATACATAAAATAATAGGCAAAGAAATAAGAAATATAAGAAATAAGAAATAATGAAAAAGATTTTTTTTTTAAACATACATTACAATCGTGATTTTATTGTCTCGAAATTTTTTATATTCGATTAAACATGTAATCTATTGTAATTTTAACCAAATTAATTGAGCATAATATTTAATGAATAATTATATTACAACATTAATCTTAACAATTTTAATATCTATAATCTAAAGAAATACTATTTAACATTTATATTATTAATTTGATGATTAACATGTGTTCGTTGGGTTGACTTTAAACACAAAAGGTTGGTAATCTCTTTAAGCACATCTTATTTTTAAGAGAATGCATAAGAATAAAAATGCACTCAAATATTTTTGGCCACCGAAACTGTTATAAATGTCATGAACATTACAGCACCAACAAGAGTGCTAATATGTTTGTACATTATAATTATCTACTAATTATAATTGTTTGTATAATAAACGGATTTTTCAATTAAAAACTGTTACTTTAATATTTAAAAAGATTAGTAAATATATGTATAGTTACTTGAAGTCAAGTTCAAATATTCAACTGAGTTTTTTGAAAAGTGAGAAAGAGTTTTGGGCCAAATTTTAATTGATTTTTTGAAATGCAATTTTTTTTTTTTTGTGATCAGTTGTATGTGATAAAACTGACATAATTATTGCAATCTATTTTGAAAGACTATTAAATCTAATCTAATAATCAGATACAATAATTATTAATAATTACTATTACTTGAATATGCAAAAGATTATTTGTGTAATTTGTGTAATCCAAGTGATTTTATTAATTGATAAAGTCATTTGATATTTTTGATAAATAATAATCGCATTATGATTATAAGATCGTTTAATTTATTTAAATTAAATATATAATAATAAAAAATTATATTGAATAATATCAATAACTTTTATATTTATTATTATATTTATTTTATTTTATATTAAATTTATTACGAGACATTTAATTATTTTTAAATGATTCATAAACTATAAATTATTATTATTTATATAATTAATTGTTTACATTGCAAATTTTTCTCAATTAATCAAATACTATTTAGATAATTATATTCCTCAATTTCACAATTACATTTATAATAATTTTTAATAATTCTAAGTAATGATAATTTATATTAAATAAAAGGTTATCCTAATATTGTGCAACATTCATAATGCCTTCTGTCATTAGGATCAAATCTATAGATATTATACAAATATTGTGCATGCTTTCTGTCATTAGGATTTTCTTAATGTTGTACAACAATATTGTACAACAATTGTCATGCTTTCTGTCATTAGGATCAATCCATCCTCCGGTATAATAAATTTCGAATAGATTTTAAATATTGACTCATACCACTGGAATTTCTGACACCCAACTAATTACCAAACTTATTGGAATACTATCTTGAAATTTATCAGTTTCAAATATACGAAATAGTTGAATAAAAAATTTATGAAATATATGAAAGAGCAATATTCTAAAGTTCGACAATAATCACCACCTTGCAAAAGAAATGTTTTTATCAAGAGCGAATTGTTTTGTTTAATTTTTTTTTTAATTTAAACTTAAACTTTCTAATGATGATGAAATTTAGATAATGAATACGTAATGATTATGATAAATGATAACTAAAGTTTATAAATATTTTAAAGAAATAAAAAACTTTTTTCAGTAATGATAAAATTAAAATAATCTCAATAATAATAATTAGATCAATAAATAATATGATGGTATAATAATTGACATAAAATGTATACATACTTTTTTACTTTTATACTTTGATCGTTTAATCCATCTTGATTCAACATATTATTAGCTTCACCCAAGACAAAGATTTTAATATTTTCTTTAAAATCAAGAACTATTCCTGATGTACTAACAATAAGTTGAGCTTCCTTAAAAGTAGTATTCTATCTCGATTATTACTACTATTACGAATTGCTTCAGCTGTGGCTACGCGTTTATATTTTCCCATTTTTCTGGCTATTACCATAGTATTGATGCTTTCAAATTTAAATCTATTATTATAAAAAATTAATAAAATGTTCTTTATGTATAATTACAAGTAATTTGGAAAATTATTAAATATAATAACTTCATTTTGTGTTTATCTATAAATTATTATATTAGTATAAGCCGTTATCTACGGGATTCCTGTACTAATTATAATAAATTATTTAATCCAATATTTAATCATGTTTTGTTAATCCGAAATCTTCAAATTTATTTCTTCTTTATTACAATGAACCAAAAAAAATCCCGTAATTTCATAGAAAGAATGACGATTGTTGCACAATACTTATTAAAGTTGTACAATTTTTATTAAACCAGAGGATGAATTTGATCCTAATGGCAGAAAGCATGACAATTGTCGCACAATAGTAGGATGATCCTAATGACGCAATTATTGTTCAATTTGATCCTAATGATAGAAAGCATGACAATTGTCGCACAATTGTAGGATGATCCTAATGACAGAAAACATGACAATTATAGTTCAATATAGGTAGGATTTGATCCTAATGACAGAAAGCATGACAATTGTTGTACATTATTTATTAAACCAGAGGATGGCACAATATTAATTAAACCGGAGGATAGTACAATATTTATTAAACCGGAGGATGGCACAATATTTATTAAACCGGAGGATGATACGATATTTATTAAATCGGAGAAATGACAGAAAGCATGACTATTGTTGTTCAATATTTATTAATGGATTCAACTCTACCTTCAAAATCTGTTTCTCTGATTACAACACCCAGAGAGAAGCTACCAGTTAAATTACAGATGCAGTAAATTATTTCATCGGATCAAAAAAATGAAGATGATTATTAATTTAATTACTTTCCTACTAAAAGAATAAGAAAAATCATCATTATTACACGAATACAAAAGATTCCAAGTCAAATAAAAAGAACTTGCTTCATAGTCCTTCAATAGAATAAAAATAAAGAGATTTTCAGATTATATACGTCTGACCAACATAATTAAATATTTCATCCACTTTTCATGACTAAAATATATAAAAAATTGATAATAAAATAATAAATTTTTTTCATAGAATGTATCAAAGATAATTTTATTTACAAAATAAAAGAAACAAAGATTTTAGAGAAAATAAAGAATAACATTCAAGAAATAAAATGAAAATAAAATATTATTGAAAAATATAGAAATAAAATTAATTTTTCGCTTTAAAAATGATTAATTAAAAAAATCAAATTTAAGACCATCATATAAATTGTATAATCTATGTTGAGTTTGTTTAAAAAAATCGATTTTAATTCCATCAAATAGCTCATATAATCTATATTGGTTTCTTTCATATCCAATCGGTGTAGGAATAATTCTCGATTTTCCCAAACCAAAACCTGGTGGTGGTGGAGGAGATGGAGTAGTATTTTTGCTGATTCGTTCAACAAATAGTGAAACGAGTCTTCCGGTTTTGGCATATTCTGTCAAACACTTTATCCAAAAAGAATATTTGTCTACACCAATATGAATCTTGTAATTTAAAGATTCTATAAGTGCGATCTCCAACTTATTAATTTCGATAAGAGGGATATGAGTAAGTTCCGACCAAGTTTTATTCGTATAAACCGGCTCGTTGTGCCACTTGTGCGCGACCATAAGAGCGATCGTAAAAAGTTGATATTCGTTTATAAAGTTTGCGGTATTCCCTCTTTTCATGTACTTTTGTACATATTTTATTGCGATGAAGACTGTCTCTTTGGATATTTTTAACCTTAATATTATCTGAAATACATAAAATGTATTAGATATTAATTTGCATGGGCCTTTTTATTACTTTATAATAAATAAAGATATGAATAAATACCTCAACACAAAAATTTTTAAAATGCAAACTAGTGGTACTGCAACTGCCAATTTTTATTAAGCTCCACATTAATATAACAATGTCTGCCATAAAACTGCCTAAAGCATACGATGTTGGGGCAGTTTTTTTTAACCAGTTACAGATGATAAGGTCTTGCATTTTTATAGATTTAAGCTGTAAGTAGTGTGAGGAAAAAACAAATATAGCGCGATTTAAGGAAACCAAATAAGTCTTGAAGTAACAGAGTGTTAATTTAACGCGAAAATTACCTCGTTTTGTTAAATTTGAGAAGAAATGAAAAGAGTTTTTTTTAAAAAAAAAGTGAATGTTGATCTTGTGACAAATATAAAACTAATAATAAAATAGTATCTTGTGATCTAAAAATAAAGGATTTTCATATCAACGTGTCAAAGTTACGAAATCAAAAAATAAAGAAACTTAATGAGAATATAATGGAATACTTTGGAAGAAATTATGATATAACGTAGATATCCATCTTTTATTCAACTTGCCAAAAATTTCTAAATATGGATTTGGCTATGGATGGTTTTACGAAAAATTTTGTTAAAAACTAATTATTACATAAGACCAATAATTAATAATTAATAAGTTTTTTTCGTCTGAAAAAAAGTATAGTATGAGTACAATATCATGTGTCATCATATTATTACTTTATATCTTTATATCGAAATTTCTTCCACAGGATTCCGTATAATCTCACTGTGATTCTTTTTTTTTTTGGTTTCACAATCTTAAGACATAATAATATGGAAATCCTTGATTTTTTTGGATCACAAGAGAGAAATCATTTTTTTTATTATGCTTATCAATAAAATAAAGTATTATTGTAATTTCATTATTGTCTGATGGATTGTCCAATCCATCGGATAGTTATTATACTAAACTATTAATATTAACATTTTATCATTTATAGTAATATTTAATTAAAAATTATTGCGCCTTCAAATAAATTTTAATTAATTTCAGTATTCTTATTTTTTTATTACAATATTCTGCATTGGGAAATACTTAAGCCAAAATTTCATATGTTTCGATGAAGCTTTTTTATGTGCAATCAATAAATATGATTAAAAGTTTGATGGAAGATTTGGTATTGCATTTCAAATAAAAAGTAAAATTTCGTTAATAATAAAATATTCTGTAGCACAAGAAATTTTATATTGATATACGTAGTGACTACTACTATAAATAATATATATACTATAAATGTACCCTCACCTCAAATTCTAACCCCCGTTAGTACCCATGACAAAATTCACTTTTTTGATAACATGAATCAAATAATAATACTTGATTTTCTATAATTAAATAAAAATTCATGTGTTTCGAGGAAATTTTTTTTTGTGTAATCAATAAGTATGATTACCAAGTTTGATATTTAATAAAAAAATTTTGACATCAACTGCGTATTCATCGTCAAATATATTATGTATGATATATACAGTTGATGGATCATCAATATAATGAAATATTTATTTATTCTTTATTATAAAATATTTTAATTTATAGTCGTATTTAAACTTTCTGTACAAATATTTAAATTTATAGTTGTATTTTAACTCTCTATATAAACTTTTTTTAAAAATTTATAGTTGGATTTTAACTTTCTATATATATAATATTTAAAATTACAATTATATTTAACTATGTTATCAAAAAAAAAAAAAAATTAAATAAAATTAACAATAATAGATATAATAATAAATATTTGTATTGTATTAAATTGATATGATAATTGATAAACTAAATTTTCGAATTATTTTAATAATATTCAATTGAAATTATCATATATAATTATAATAAAAAAGCTTAAAATATGTGCAGCGCTATAAATAAATCAATATTTTATAATATAATCTATAATCCCATCCAATATCCGCATTAGTAAATTAATAAATTGGGCTAAATAATTGTTAACTTTTTTTTTTTTGATAATCTTTCCTTAGTTATATTGTCTAATGGCATCATATCATGCCATTTTATACAATTTATTTATTATTAATTACTAATAAATAATATAGTCTATGTATTATGCATTTTATCAAAAAAAAAATTAGTTAATAATTATCATGAGTTTTTTATTCATGAAAATTATCAACTGATTTTTTTTTGATAAGATGCATAATATATTCCTTTATTATACTGCGTTATTATGATCCAAATATGATGTAATAATGATTATAAATTATCAAACTATCAAATCTGATGTAATATTAATAGTCATTAATTAATACATCGGATTTGATAGCTAATTATAAATCAATCAATCAAATCATATTTAAACCCCCTTTTTTTATCAAAGGCAATTTCTTTTTTGAAATTTAAAATTTTTCACAAGCAAAAAAATGTCTTCAATCATCAATAAAATTAAGAATTTTTCTCCTGGTACGAACGAAATATAATTATTATTTATTCTAGTAATGTTTTTAGAAAAACTTTTTATATTTATTATTAAATTTTAAATTTGTATATTATAGCACAAATAAAGAAAGAAAGAAAAGAAAGAAAAGAAAGAAAGGAAGCAAAGAAGATGTTGGCAGCGGGTGAGGTGGAATCAATTTGGGTTGGTCTCAATGACCGAGATTATAAAGAACTTATGGCGCTGCCAACAGAAAGACATAAAATAATATTTTTAAAAAAATTATTGAACAATGTAAGATAATTATTTTTATTAAAAAATCAATATATAGTAATAATATAATAATAACAATAAGATTATACTAATTACAATTTTCTAATATTATAGGAGGTTGAGTATATTGAACGCGAAGTAGGAGGTGTAAGAGTTGAGGAGGCGTGGTATCCGTTAAACGAGAAAGAATTTGATTTTTTTTTGGGGAGGAAGAGGGTGACGTGGGGACAAAATGAAGTTAGGGAATTTCGAGAATATGAGACTAGGAGAGAGAAGTGGTGGAGGAAGTTGAAAGAATTTTCGCACATTAAGTTGTAGAGGAGGGAGTTGTTTTTTTTTTAAATACATGTTATTAATAAAATCATATAAAAATTATCATTTTTTCTATTTTTTAAAATTTTTTATTTTTTTACATATGAAAACGAAATATTAAATTATTTATAGATAGTTCATGTATCAAATTTGTACAGAGAATGAACAATAATGGCTTGTATGGGAATTTCAACATCAATAATACAATAATTACCAAACTATCTTTAGTCTATACGACCTGTTTGGAACAAAGATTAATGGATCAATTCTCATAGACATCAAGAAATCTAAACAGATATATAATTAAAGTATTGGCCAAACAAAATATCAACTTAACGTCCAACACGAACCACCCGATTCCTAATATTCCAAATGTGATGTTGACACTCGATCGAATTCGAATACAAGACGGCAATGAAAGACTAAATATATGAAACTATATTTAGAACAATTACTAAAGTGTGGACCTCAGCCAAAACTACATCAGATGCACCTCAATCAAGAATGCATCTCCAGGAAAAAGCCAAATGGTATGACGACCTGATGACATATATCGAAGTATTGAAAGATCAAATTAGGAAAATAATACAATGTTTAAACCAAATAAACACCTAAGTTAGGAAAAGAGAAGGCAAAATAAAGTCAAACGATACCCCTCCTAAAAAATCATAAGTAACAATTGAGAGAATTCAAAGGAAATCAAGTATAGTCAGAGTTTTTAATCAAATATTTCGTGAGGAAAACGTGAGACGAAATGCCTACCTCAGTAATAACTCCATGTATGGGTTTGAGATTACAGTAAATAATATCTCAGAGAAAAGAAATAATTCCAATCCCAGAAAAAATGTCAAGACAAAATTGTACATTTAAAACGAGCTGTAAGGATTAGAACAATTATCGGTGAGTCAAATTTATCATCAAAGTTCAAATATAAGGAACAAAAAGAAAAAATGAGGTCCATGATTTCCCCTAATCAAATAAAACATACTAAAAAAATTAAGAGTTTTAAATTGATACCAAGTTCTATCTTAAGAACATACTTAGAACTAAACAGTCCAGTAATAAATCTAAAATCACAAATAAAAACAGAAATTAACAAATATCTTGATTTCAAAATCTATACAGACGGATCAGTCATAACCAAACAAATAATACCTTCAAATAATGGGAATAATCACCAATTCAACTAATCAATCTTGTTGATGAAGAGGTTCCGGATAACTCTGCGTTTAATTTCTAAGAACAGAAATATAGGCTCTCTTAATAGTATTAAAATTATCATCTCCCAAACCAACAGTCAATACTCATACTGACAGCGGTGCGGTGCCATCATACCAGCAATGTCTTCACATTTAGTACACAAAACAAAGTCTGGAAAAAAAAAGAAATTTTTCTTCCTATTCAGGTTATTTCTGAAATTGCCAAGATAAATGAGTTAGAGGTCGAACTAACCAAAAGTGGAAGCGCATGTTGGGAACTTACATAAGATGAATTGGTAACGGGGCATCCAATAATTAAAGAATCCAATTAAATGTCATTTGGCAAATTACTAATGGCGGATCAACTCAAAGACATATTTAATCAACATTGGCGAACTCTAGAACGACATCATTCGTGGATTAACAAATATATGCAGAGTGAAATGGATTGAAAACATACGTAAAAGCTATTACACAATGGAACGACAATCAAATTTCAACGAAAGTGAACATTCAATATAAAATATTTAACGACCAGTAAAAAAGAAACTGATGAAAAGATTCCAGACCTCTACCAAGAAGAAAAATGCATCTTCTGTAAGATGAGATGGCAACAGAAAACATGTAATAATTTTCTAGAATCACTGAATCCCGCAAGCAAAGACTCTATCATACATCAAGTAATATTTGAAGGAGAAAGATTAAAGATAGAAATAAGCTCTGCTGTAAGCTCCTTAACGGCCCACATTCAGGTTAGCCAGAGCATCAACTAAAGAACACAGATTTCAGCTTCATCGATATTGTATGTGGACTAATACCAAAAACATTAAAGATTTTTATTAAAATCAACAGTATGATAACCAAAATATTAGATGGTACATTTAATGCGCTGAAAAAAAGATATACAGTATATGGGATAAATGGTAAGAGAAATGCAAATCATTATTATTTGGGAATAAGAAAAGAAAACTATCACAGAATGTAAAAAGAAAAAATCACGTAAACATCGTTAAAACAATAAATTAAGATCTAAAAGAACAACTAAAAGAAACAAATCCAAATAACTAGTATAGCGATAGAAGAATTTATATTAATAATTAAAGAATTTATAATCTTTGTCATAGGAATGGATCTGGTTTGAAAAAAATGTAAAAAAACATTTGAATTCTATTTAATATTTGCGAAAAAGGAATTCTTGTTACGTAATGTAGAGTTGGTTGGTGTTATATAAGTGGAATTGGAACATCAAAAGATGTAGCCAAAGGATTTCCGTGGTATATGAAATCGACCCTTGCTGGAAATAATAATGCAATATTATATGTTGCATATTATTGCATCAATGGTATAGGTGTGGGTAAAGATTTTCAAAAGTCATTTAAATAGTTTTTAAAGGCAGCTGAAAAAGAAGATTATGACGGTCAAGATTATTTAGGACGTTATTATAAAAATGGTTAATGGATTGATATAGATCATGCGAAAGCATTTAAATGTTATAAGAAAGCTGTGGAATATGGTGATATTAGTGGTCAATAAGAAGTTGAAAAAAGCTTTTATGAAGGATAGGAACTACAAAAGGCATACTGGCCAAATAAAACAAAAGAAAATGGAATAACAATGCCAATGAGCCGTTAATAGAAATAATTAATAACATAATTCGCTAAAAATTCTGTAACTGCAGATAGTGGTTAGAATGAATAGTTTTCAAGATATCAAAGAGATAGTAATTTGGCTACGGGAAGTGGGAAAATTTTGTCAACGCGAAACGTGATGTGAATTAAATTATAAATTATAGTAATATATTAATTATAAATAATAATAATAATGAAGAAGTAACGGAGAATTATTTAAATTTAATTTTCATTAATATTTTATTTATATTTTTATGTTATGGAAGCTTATTTTTTAAATTATAATTTGTCATTTTGCGAAAGTCCAAATATCAAAAAAAAATCCAAGCTCCAAAGAGTATACACAATGCATTATTAATGCTGTGTCACATGTATATTAGAGAAAATAGTTCTTATTCGTTGGACGCTTCCACGTGATAATCATCTCCTCGGAGAACAATCAGCTTTTGGTCGACATTTTCCCAAATTGTGTTTGTCTGAAGAAAATCTTGCGGACAGTCTTGATACATTACTTTTCCAAAGTTCTTTCCATTCAAGAGAAAGCTACTAATAAAGGAGCATAATCATGTGATTACCAAATTAACGATGAATTTCACTGATTTTCAAATTTAGGCCAAAAAGTAACCAAAAATGATACTTTTGCACGAATTTTAATCGAGATATTAATCCACTAGTGATGCAAATTATAACTATTATTTTAATTAGAATTTGTATTAATGAAAAAATTTATATGAAAATTTTCAAATACAAAACACATCATTGATTCTGGTTTTTTTTCGCTTCTTTATTTTAATATACTATCATTTGATTTGATTAATTAATAATTATTTAGATCTTTAAGCGACGTCACATTATTTAATATTATTCGATTTTTTTCAATAAAGTTATTTGAAACTCCAAATTCTCTCTAATAATCATAAATGCAATATATTATATCAAATTTATTTTTAATTAATTAATGTAATTTAGACTCACTATTTATTTTAAATAAAGTTATTCGAAACGATCACTTTCTTCTCTAAATAAAAAATAAATAAAATAGCTTGATTTATTTTATGAATTAAAATTTATATGCAATATATTTTCTATCTTACATATTTATATAACAACTTTAGTGAGCAGCCAATTTTGGTTGATATTTTGATTTAGTTAATGTTTTTAAAAATTTAATTTGAATGTTTTCATAGAGCTCCTTTCTTTCAAAGAAAGTCTTTTATCTTCATATTTGCATATGTATTTCATTTACTTTTATTTAATATATGTGGCCTAATTCTTTAATTTAAACTAAAAATGCTAATATGATCTATGAATTTTATTTAAATCTGAACATGTTCTTGTTCCCAACTTACTTTTTACTTTGTGAAATTGACTTTCCTAATCTTTGCTCAGATTATCATATTGCCTATTTGTCCGGATCATAGCGTAGGACATTTAATGGACGCGTAGGGTGAAATCAAAATTACGTTTTTGATATTTTTAAATAAAAAATCAAAAACGAAACTTTGGTAAAGGATGTCTGTCCGATTTTAGATAACGATTATTGTAGATAAAGAACACATGACAATAAAAAGTTGCGTTTTTGCCATTTTCATATTTAAAATATCAATTACACAATTATTGCTCCGGACTTACAATGGTTCCTATTTCCTAGTTAATACAAAAGGGAAAGTTAAAGACTTTATCTTATAGTAATAAAATTTCTAATTGAATAATTTTATTGATAACGCCATAAGATAAGATATTGGATGGATATTACATATTTTTGATAGGAGTGTATGCATCAAAAGTTATGCTAAATATGGTTATTAAAGTATTTATAAGTTTGGGTATAAATTTATTAAACAGTAATATGATATTATATAATAACTGATAAAAGAGAAAATATTAAAATTACAAAGAAAGAAAAAAACTTTGAAATTCATTAAATACAATAATTAAATATTTATTAAAATAAGTTCATAATAACAAGAAACAAAGTTTACATAATGAAATATTTAAAAGATAAATAATTTATTGCAACATATAAATAATTTGTAATTGTGGCAAGAAAATATTCCATTTTATCAATATAATTCGAAAATGTAAATTAATTAGTGGAAATTTTTATGAAGTCGCTTTTGAAACTTATCAAAAACTTTTGTATTTCATTAAATGAAAAATTTAATTGGATAATTTAATAAATGAAGCTAAATTTTATTTTATTATTTAAATATTCTTTATACTTTTTTTATTATTTTTAATTGAAAAAGATTAAAAGACTTCGAAAATTGGAAATGTGGCATTACTACACAGGGCAAAATAAATATTTTTTACAAATAATAAGCATTGTTAATTGATTTTAATTCATTTATTTATTTGATTTTATAGAGAGCACCGATTATTATATAATTCTTCTCTTCATCGATATTTAAAAAGAAATCCAAAAAAAAAATATAAATTAAAGATGATAAATCTATAATAGTCAATTGAGAATATACTAGGAAATGGGAACCATTGTAAGTCCGGAGCAATAAATGTGTAATCGATATTTTAAATATGAAAATATCAAAAAAGTAACTTTTTATTGTCATGTGTTCTCTATCTAAATAATCGTTATCTAAAATCGGACAGACATCCTTTCCCAAAATTTTGTTTTTGATTTTTTTATTTAAAAATATCAAAAACGGGATTTTGGTATCACTTTACTTCTCGATTAAGTGTCCTCGGACAATTGACATGTGATCATTATCAAAAAATCAGGCATATCAAAAATGTAACTTTGGTATCACATGCATATTAATCATTTTCATCTAAACTATAATAGGGATTGTGTACCCATTATTCGTTTCCCTTTTCTCACGAAAATTTTTCCCATGAAAATAATATATTTTTATCAAAAAAAAAAAATTGATATTTTTGTCGAAAAACGATTTATTTTATTGGTAAGTATGTCTCTTTATTATTATTGCAAATATTGTTGGTATAAAGTAAACAAATACTGTCATTATTATTATTGCAAATATTAGTGGTATAAAGCAAAGAAATACTGTGACAAATTATTATCATTTCAACAAACAGGTTATTATAACGTAAAAAAATTCTTTTTTAACTTCTACAAAAATTATTGGGTATTGCAAAGCTCATCAGCGGCGATCGTTAACACCAGGTAAAATTACATAATTACCTGATCAACCCTTAACCCGGAACTTTGCCCACGCAAATTTAATTTTGCCCAGTGATGACGGCCACTACCGATGAGATTTAGGAATAATTATTATTTATGATTTTATTTTATAAATATTTTCATGAAGGGATAGTCTACCATATTGTGAGTTTATTTGAATATTATTTGGGATGATGGTCCACCATATTGCGATATGATTTGGATATTATTTGAGGTGATAGTCTAACATATTGCAAGACGAGTTTATTTGGATATTAATTGAAGTGATGTTCTACCGAATTGAGAGTTTATTTGAACATTAATTGGCATGATGGTCTATCTCTATCGAATTGCAAGTTTATTTGGATATTAATCGGGGCGGTATTAATTGGGATGATATTAATTGAGGTGATGGTCTACCATATTGAAAACAAGTTATATGGATTTTATTTGAGTGATGGTCTATCGAATTGTGAGTTATTTAGATATTAATAAGGAACGATAGTCTACCGTATTATAAGGCAAGTTTATTTGAATATTATTTATTTGAAATGATTGCCTACAGTATTACAAGGCAAGTTTATTTTAGGCGGTGGTCTATCAAATTGTGAGTTTATTTGGATATTAATTGGGTATGGTCTACTATATTACAAGATGAGTTTATTTGGATATTGATTGGTTATAGTCTACTGGGTGATGGTCTACCGAATTGCGAAGTTTATTTGGACATTAATTGGGTTGATGGTCGAGTTTATTTGAATATTAATCAAGGTGATGGTCTACCAAATTACAGTTTTTTTGGATATTATTTGAGGTGATGGTCTACTGAAATATAATAATTTGGGTGAAGGTCTACCAAATTGCGAGTTTATTTGGATATTAATTGTATGATGGTCTCCATATTGCTAGTTTATTTGAATATTAATTGTGGTCTATCGAATTGTGAATTTATTTGGATATTAATTGGATGTGATCTACTATATTGCAAGGTGAGTTTATTTGGATATTAATTGGTGTGATGTCCTACCGAATTGTGAGTTTATTTGAGCATTAATTGGCACGATGGTTTACAGAATTGCAAGTTATTTAGATATTATTTGAGGTGATGGTATACCATATTGTGAGTTTATTTGAATTGTGAGTTTACTTGATACTCTATTGAGGGGATGATCTACCGAATTACGAGTTTATTTAAATATTATTTGAGGAGATAGCTCCAAATTGCAAGTTTATTTGGATATTAATTGGGTGATGGTCTAATGTAGTGCAAGGCTGATGGTCTGCTTGTGTATGTAAATTCAATTTGTGAAAATGTTTATAATGCCACTTTTCGAAAATTGGGAATTCATTATAAACAAGGTAAGATGGAAAATATTTTTTTAGAATAAATAATTTTCACGAAATAATTATTTCGAAATTAATTATCGATTTTCATCAATTTACAATTTAATTAGAATTCTGAAAATATTCTTATCATGATGAGAACATTAAAATTAATGTTTATGGATTAACAAAAATCATACCCAAATCTTTAAGATTCCTTACAAATACTATCAGTCAAATTCAAAAATAATAATTCTGATATTTACAGTTTGGAAATTATACTACGGAAATTTCCAGTGGCAGTCCTCCATTTGAATAGAATCTTCATCAAAAATTGATTTATTAGATAGCATTGTGAAAGAGAAAAGAGAAATGATTATTCTGGAACACCTACTAAATACGAGGAATTACGGTATGTACTGGTACAAATTTATTTTATTAAAATCATTCATATTAACTACTAGATCAATAATAATTATTTAGGTAAATTAAATCTATTTAATAGATTACTGGAACCACAATAGAAATTCTTGACCAGATATTTCTCAAGTAGTTAAAAATCTTTCGTAAATAATTATCTCAAAAACTTCTCAATCACTACCTCATAATGCCACCTATGAAATTATCATCGATAAATTAGAAACTCCTCAACCACAACCTGATAATGTTATTGACGAAGGTAATTATGTCAAATTTGAAAATCAAAAGTAAGTTGTGCTATTTACATTTTGTATTTTTATATATTTATTAAATTGTAAAATATTTTTTTTTTGTGACAAAGGATGAACTAGAAATGAGCGATAAACCCTTTTAATTCTTCCAACACAAGAGGAACATATTGCGTTTCTGAAAGATCATGCCCCAGAAGAGCTTTTGGAAGTCTATAAGAATGATCAGTTTAATGACGCTGCAAATACTTCCAATCTCTTGGAATATTCAAAAAGGCTTCAGTCAAACATGCTATAAAGCCATCTTGATAAAGAAAAGAAGAAGAGAATATTATCGATTCGTTATGCTACCTTTTACGTTCTTGAAGAGTAATTATACTAGTAGATATTATGAACAACGATAAAAGTACCCTAAAAGAAAAAGAGTTACATAAATTACTTAACGATACATTGCATTAGATGTCACCACGAAATTCAAATCTCAATCTTTAAAGAAATCCGAGAAATGTCATAAACTAATGGGAGAGTTCCAGTTATATTTAGTTTATTTGAAGAGTGACCTAAATGGAGTTCATAAGCGTATACAATCTTTCCAGAGGTGTAATGATATCATTGCAGAGTTTCGGGCATTAAACATATGGTTAAAGGTTTTCCCAAAGTCCTTTAATATCGAGTATTGACGTGAACGCTTGCAACATCTAATGAGGCTCTGTGAATCCTATGATTTCATTGACCCACGTAAAAATGTTCACAACAAAGAGAAAATCAACAAAAATTTCGAAGAAATTTTTTTCGTTAAAGTACCGAAAACTTCTTTTGACAGTCTGCATGTTTGTCATATGAGCGAAATGCATGACAAAAACACAATAGAAGATTTAGAAGATTGGAAGGTTTATATCGTGGATATAGGCACAAGGCAATCTCGAAATTTCTTGCTTCATACATATATGGTCTTATATCTTACGCCGACCGAGAGGGCGAAATATTTCAGTTCATGAAATTTGCAACGAGTATTTAGACTGTAAAAAGCATAATTGCCGGAAGACTCACGTGATTCACCGCTATCAATTCTTCACAAACGCATTACGCTTGGATGGTTCCAGTTCATTGTAATACAACAATTTTCTACAATATACCTTCTTCACTTACTTATTGAGGAAAAGAGTAATTTTGTTCTGATTAAACAAAGGTTTTGGTTTGAAAGACTGATATATTGTCATTTTCGCGATCAATCCCCACAATCAAGTCATCCAGAGATCACCTATGCCGAAATCATCAAACTTCCTCGGCACACATATGTTGGGCTTGTTGAAATCATTTATAAAGCTTGGTTAGATAAAGAATTTGATCCCTATAACTTTGCAGGAATATTAAAATGCATATTTGTTTTATTCAGTTACGATTCAAATGAGGCATTGATAAGTTTTATTGGGAAATAAGAAAGAACGAAAGATCTTATAACAATTTTATATTCCAAGAAGTTGCAAAGCGACTTGCTTTATTCATAGAATCTCTCCACACAAATTTAGTAATTGACGCAATAAATCAATCAAAGGAGTTCATTTATTATGCTGTAGAAAATTCTAAACAAGTTAATATAGTTAAGTCGGAGGCTTACATCTCTTATAGAGTTCAAAACGTTTTTAAGTTTTGCTGCTCGTCCTGGGCATTGTGATTTATGCCTTCCCCTAAGTTATTTGGTTAACTATTATGATGCATTCAACTTGAAACCATCCCTTGTACTTCTAGAAGGCAGAAATAAATGCGATAGAATAACCTACAACAATGAAATCACATATTTATCCTTTCAAGCTAAAAAACTTCTCAAAGCGATGATTGATAGGAAGAAGTATTACGTGAAAATTATCCTTCGGTTGATTCGGCTTCTGACCCTTATCAGTCTGAACGAACCCGCTTTAACATCAAGTATATTAAAATATTTTAAAAGCCTGAGTAGAATACTGAGCAACGAACCTTACATCAAGAAGACCGAGAAGTACAATAAATATCTGTTAGTAATTTATCAAAGTAATTTTGTAAACATTCTGAATGATGACCTTAAAGAGAATGGCTTTGATTCACTAGTTATAGTTTACTACAACTGGAGAGGAATGTCTAGATTTTCTTGGGAGAAGTCTGGGATCACAAAGATTTCATATCGTACATATCGTAGTATTGAAGAATTTCGTTCTTCTCTTCAGAAAATTACAGCAAGTTGATGGCAGTGAACTAAATTTTGTTGTTGATGATGGTGGTGGTGATCGTGATGATGAGATGAACCAGATACAGCCATAGTCTGGGTTCCGTGAGATTCAAACAGTCACAAGTATAACATGCTCTTAATAGTAGATATCATTGCGGAACTTATTAATCTACAAATTGTTAATGACAATAGATCTCGAAATTCATTTGGCCCATATATATATGTGTGTATATTTTAGGTTCATCCGTAATAAAAACGCTAAGTTATCATTGGAATTATTATCAACAACTGAGCTGAGAACTCAGAGAAATATAAAGGATCAGATATTGAACGGTTAGAAAACGAATTACAATAAGCGAAGGAAACTATTGATTTGATTCGGAAATGGATAGAAAAATGTAATTAATTTTATTGAGCCTAATTAGATTTTGGTTTTATAACGATTACGTATATATGTTAAATCTCATCATTTGTAGATAAAAAATTTTTTGAGCCCAATAAATAGAATTTTAGGAATTATTTTTTCAGTAATATAATTCGAAATAACTGGCAAGAAAATTATAATAAAAATTTTAAAAATTTTTTTATTGATCTATTAATATTATTTTATTATTTTGAGAATTTTGGTTTTATTATTATTATTAATAGTAATCAGAGATTAGACAAAAAATAGATTTTACTACTATAGGTTTATTTTATTATTTACGTAAAAATTCAAGATAATATTTTGTAAGAAACGTGAATCTAGGTAATTATGAATTTCTGTTTACATATTTACATATTTTACATATTTAGTATTCTTTCATCGTATCGATAATAATAAATTTATTAATTAAAAAAATTTAATCCCGTGTAAATCTTTTGATGTAAAATTAATTTTTATGCATAAAACTGAAATAAAGTGATTTAATTGTTAACATTTTTTTTTTGATAATAACTTGGACATCGAGCGATATTTTGTTAAAATAAATAATTAAATTTAATTTAAATAATGAAATGAAATTAATGAAATTAAGTTAAATAAATAAAATTAATTAAATTAAACGTTATTATTTACATATATATTTTTTACCAATTAAACTTAAATAAAATATTGATCTATGAGGAGGATACTCGAGAAATTTCAGAAGCAAACACAATCATTTCAAAGGAAGAAGATTCGGTGATAGATAAATTCCAACAAAACGTACCAAATGAAGAAACCATAAACAGTTCAGAACTATTAATATTGAATCTCCCTAATAACCCAACAGCCTAACATAGCTACCATAAATACACGGGCTTAAACAATCTATCTAAAAAACAAGAGATTTTGAATTACTTCCAAACACAACCTAGACACACTATCACTGACTGAAACAATAAAGTAAACAACATTTTATGAAAAATAATATAACCGATGAATCTAAACCAATACTTAACCAGGATAGAAAGCAGGGAGTAGGTAGAATAATAACACAAGAATTAAATAAACATACAATGGCACAAGATTCCTTTTTAAACAATGCAATATCAATTCTTGATCTTTAAAAGATGGGAACATTAAAATATTGAAATGTGAAATGTGAACTTTAAGAACAAAAAATAATATTAACAGTAATGAAGGATACCTGTCACGTTTTAAATATATAATAATATATATTAATAATAATTGTATTTAAAAATTCTAAAATTAAATTGATCTATATTACAGTCGACTTCTACTTAACTGATTATAAATTCTTTGGGCAAAATAATTTTTCATTTGAAATTATTTGTCATGAAAATACGTAGTTAGGGTATACAACATATTAAAAAAAAAAATAATAATAATAATATTTCACGAAGGATGTTATAATTTGACAGATATTATTCTCATAATTCTTATAATTTTATTAACACTCGTCTAATGAATTAGATGATTAGTATATTCACTATTAATTATAAAAACTACATAACTTAATATGAAAAATAAAATAATAATAAAGAAGATTAAAACTGAATATTTTACAAATGGTTTCAATAATAAATTTATTCTTAAAGTATTTTATTCCATAAATTTAACAAAAATTATATATTTCGAAGCATATACATTTTTAATTAACATTATTGATGAACAAAGCTAATTAATATTCAATTACAATAATGAAATTAATCAAAAGAACCAAATTCTTTTATTTAAAAGCAATTAAAACCACCTGAATATTTAAGAGTAAATTTAAAGAAAAAAAATATTTAAAGTTTAAGAATTATTACTAACGACATTGGCACCTATAAAGTTTAAATAAAAATAAATATAATAGAAATTAATTTTAAAAAATATTCCGATTTATAATTACACTTACATCCACATCCATAAAGGAAATTTGCATCCACTTAGTCAACATTTTCATTGTCTTCATTATTATTGTTATCATCTTCATTAATATCATCATTATAATTATGATTATTATCATTACCTTGGCCTTTTTTGTAACCAACCACATGGACGCTTAACAATTTCTTAAAAATAATAATTATAATTAATAAAAAATGAAGTTATTTAAAACTCATTATTACTTATGCTTATGTTACTTGTATTTTCTAGGTTGATAGACTTTCATTGAATGTCTATCTCGATATATTTAGTTGGTTCTTGTTTTGAAAATCAAAATATAATTTGATAATCATAGAGTGCACGGTCCAACTTTTTTTGTCTTTTCCACCAGTTCGAAAATAAACAGCCATCCGTAAAGAATTTTTGGGATTTAATTACGTCCATAATGGTGGCCTTTATTTAGGTTTCATTTACTATAGAATGACTTCCTATAGCGAAGGAATCCGATTAAGAACAACTCCTAAGATTAGTGCATCTCAATTCCATTCTATGCACATCCATATTAAAGTGAACAAACATTTCATTGGTATCTATTTATCGCAAAAAAAAAGCATAAAAAAGTATATTAATCTATGTAAAAAACATATGTAAGAAATTCAACAAATTATAGTTGAAACAGTAGCTTGAACTAATTAATATATGAAACGTTAAATTGATCAAAAATAATTAATATTATTTTATTTTTATATTATTAAAAATATTAAAGATAGAAATGTAAAAATTATGTAATTGTTATTAATAATTAAATATTATTTTTATCTATTAAAATTAATATTTGTAAAAATAAATTATGAAAACATAATTATGTAATAAATTGCGAATTTATTTTAAATTATGAATTAAATAGTTTATAAAGAGTACATTCTTTAACATTTAATAATAAAAGTCTATTTAATCTTTTCTAAATATAAATAATAATTTTATTCTTTCATTCTTTACCTTTCTTTTATTTACTTTTCATTCACACTCTTATTTTCATTCATTTATACAATATTTATATAAACATAATTGCTTGTACCATATAAATTAATCTGATATTAAGATCAGGTTGAAAAAAAAATGAAATTTTTCTAGAGTTTTTAGTTCAAGTATCCAGAGTGTAGCAATGGACAAGCAAAGTAATACCAAAGTTAAGATTTTGATTCATCATAAGTTCTGTTATTGATACACTTTATTTGTCTGGAGTGTAGTGTGGCAATCCAAATTGGTAATCAGGTGAAATGTCACAGGGGATGATAATTTGTGTCACTAGATGAACATTCAGGTAATTGTTATCCCATGTAAGATGACCATACGAGGATGAAGGATGAAGTACAAAGATGACCATATGAGGATGAAGGATGACTGTACAAGGATGAAGGATGAAGTAGGAAGATAAGAAGAATGAAGTGTAAACAAAAGAGAAAGTATAAATACGGCCGTTGTCGGGTGTAAGTTTTAGCAGTGATCAGAATTCATTAATAGTTATTAGTTAATTAATTATTACTTAATATTATGGAATGTATCAAAATATTTTAATTATTATTAGATAGAAAAGTAAACTTACTTCAGGAATGGTAAAATAGACATCCTAACACATGATAATATTTCTGTTGCTGAATTATACTTTACTTTTAAAAACTTTAAATTTTATATTTTAATAAACTTATATCTTGTACTGTAATATTGCAGAATATTATTAAATATTGTTTGATACTGTGTTAACTACTTTTACTTCAACTTACTCACTGTGCCTTCATGATTAATTGATTATTAATTGATTATTATTTAATTATTATTATTATTTATTATATATTTATTATCTGTTTCGAGATAGGCCAGTTAAATTGATTGTATTAGCTATAACCTACTGAAAGATAGAGTATATTATTATGTTTATGTGATGCAAACTTTGAGACTAATTTGAGAAATTGTTCGAAATACTCTGCACAGTAGTGACAATATGATAGACTTAAACTCGATTTTTTTTTTAAATAGTTTTAATAATTATTTTGAAGTGAAAATTCACTTTTACCTTTATATTTTTTTAAAAAATATTTTATTTTTATTTTATTTCTTATTTTTATATATTTACTATATTTTATCCTTGAAAAGTGGATGATATATTTATGTGAATTGGTCAGATATATATAATCTGTGAAAAGATCTCTTTTTTTTTTTGTACAAGTTATTTTTATTTATTTTTGATCATTTGTGTTCATATATAATTATGATTTTTTTTTATTCTCTTCGTTGGTTATTTTGTAATAAAAATGAGACACACAAAAAATTAAATAATTAAGTATAAAAGAAATAAATTAAATTATAATATTATTAATTATCTCCTTCTCTTTTTTTGATCCAATGAAATAATTTATTTCACTTTTTTCTTTGTAATTTAACTGGTAGCTTCTCTCTAGGTAACAGAAACAGATAGAATCAATAAATATAGTATAGCAATTGCAATAGTCAAAAATTGATAAATAATACACATATTGGGTACCCGCAATATACATGGTACGTCCCTACTATCGGAAATATATCAGGTACCCAATAGGTGTAGAAAATATTTTTTTACACTTATCGGGTATCCAATATATATATAAAATATTTTCTATACCTATTGGGTACCCGATATATGCCCAATATTAGGGATGTACCATGCACATATCGGGTATCCTATATGTATATTATTTATTAATTTTCAACCAGTATTGACATATTTTCTGTCATTAGGATCTCAGGTTATACCATTCTCCAGTTTAATAATATTCTGATTTAATAAATATTGTACAACTTTAATAAACACTAGTGCAATAGTGGTACAAAGTACCATTCATCTTATCTTATTTAAGATTTTGTAAAATCTGAAAAAATCAGTAAAGTATTTTAGTTTAGGTAATAATTAATAATGTAATAGTTGCATAAACTGATTTTTGAGTTGAACTTGGTTGAATATTTTTCTAACTTTTTTTTTAAAACAGCGAATGATCCAAGTGAGATCCTATTAATTAAAGTTGTCAGATAATTAATAAAGTTAATTTGAAAGGTATTTTAATAGCAGAAAGTAGTTCTCAGCATAATAGGATTTTTTCAAATTAAAGGATTTACAGAAAGTTTAATAAAATAAAATATAATTTACTTCCTTTTTTAGTTTATTTAGAAGAGGGATAATTTAAGGAGGTGGTCATAGACAAAATAAACTTGTTATATTTGTGAGCTAAAAAGAATATTAACAGTAAAAATATTTTGATTTGTAATTTATCATAATTTTGTTACATGTAAAAGAATTGAATTGTTTGAAATTTTACATTTTGTGGTTTGTATATTTTTATATATAGATATATATACAGATTTATATATATTAAGTTTTAATCTTGTAAAAAATAAGTTTGTTTGATGCTGTATTATGTGATACGATTATGAGGATTAAATACATGAAGCAACATGTAAAAGTGAATTTAGATTTTTTGATAGTATGGGCTCTTGATATATATTCTATTAAACGTGAGGATTATGAAATTGAATTAGTTTTATTTGTGTCTGTTAATTCAAATGATAAAAATTTGGAGACCCAAGCTATTTTTGAGAAAGATAATTTTTTTGCTGTTGGTGTTAAAATAGTACTGGAGTATTACAGTGGTAATAAAAGAGCAAAGGTATTAGTTGTATGTTTA